CCGAATTGGATCTTCCTGACATTCTGTAAAAAAGGAAGAATGTTCTGCTGTTTGTTGCCATAATCTAATGCTATTAACTTGAATATCATTTCCAGGCTTGTGTGATATGTTGCCAATGGATCATGTTGAAGGTCTCGTGGAAACCATCAGAGTATTTGGCAATCTGACCCATTTCAGAGAGATACGAGACATCGTTACTAAGAGGGCTGGTTAGTGTCATTTAAACCATTTTATACACATTGTGCATGTTCTTTCTTAAGTGGATATTGTATATTTTGTTTATGCGCTGGTTATGATATTGATATCAGCTTTTGTCTTTCCTTTAAGATCAGAAAAACGAGAGAGCAAAAAATAGTGCCTTATCATTTTCATCTTGCTTGTATGATTGTGTTGATTACTTCTTTTGAGTGAAAATGTGCATCTCAGAAAAGAAAGAAAGAAGAAAAAAAAGAATGGGACTAGGGGACAGATTCGTCAAATCTGTCCACTCATTTCTGTGACTTTCTTTTTCTTTAACCCTTTAAGACCCGGCGATGAAAGGAAGCCGCTTCTCGGGCTGTCATGGTAAGTTCTACGTGAAATCATAAATAAAAACAAATATCTCCCTTGACAGATATTATCACTGAGTATTAATGAATACCCTAATGAAAAGAGAGAGAAAGAAAAAAAAAAAAGAAAACCACTATCAGCTCGAATGTGGCAAGTAAAGTATGTATTTGATTGTGCCGTTTATATGTATAAGTAATATAGTTATGCATGAATGTCCGTGGCTTAAAGGGTTAATAAATCAAGTGAACATTAGAATAGATGACAGCATGCATCTGATAAATGAATCATTTTCTATTATCATTTACTATTTAGTTGATACACGCATATCTGCTGATAATGGTTCTTAAATTGTTGTTAATACCTGTTGATAATGACAAATTTTAATTGATATACTTTAAGATAAATACCACATTATCTATTCCAGTGCTGGAGATCCTTATTGAGATGTTGGACTGTGATTCACGAGAACTGGTATATGTCTGTGCTGGTGTGCTAGTCAATCTAATGTCAGATGCATCCAGACGATCCATCTTCCAAGAGGAAAATGGAGTATTAAGGTATATTCATACAACATCTATGTACATAATAAATATTAATCTACAATGTGCATGATTCATATACTGTACTGTCCACATTGATAGCTCACTAAGCAGTGATACTAATATTACTCAGGATACATATCAGATTCCAGCATAACCATTAAAAGTTTGTATTTTTAGATATCCATGAGAAACGTAAAACTGCCTTTAGGTAAATGTTACTGTGAAGTCAGTCAGAACTGACTAAATCACAGCAGGAATACTTTAATGTACTGATAACTGAGTGATTGACCCTTTGGACACTAGACAGGAACATAATAATGTGTACATAAACAATTTACCCAAAAATACTATTGTTAGAGAAGCTTGATATCTGTACCCTATTTTTACTGTATTACAATGTATCATTATTTCCAGGATGATAGATGTACTGCAGTACTTTGGATATGGAGACTGGCAGCTATGTAGTCTTGCTTGCCAAGTACTTTGGAACTTCTGTGCCTCTGCAGCCGATGTTCAGTCAACACTTGGTGATAAGGAAACAGAAAAGCTGGTTTTTGTTCTAGAAGAATTTTTGGGTAAGGATTTTCCAAGGAACATTGTATATTACGATTCTGGTAAATGTGCTATCTTAAATCATTAGTTTTCATATCATCATTAAATGCAAAGCCAAATCAAAATATGAACACTCTTACAACTTAAGACAAATTATTTGTTTACTAAAAACTAATGACAATATCTTACAGATGATGATTCGTACTTCAACAATCCCGAAGTTTTTGGTGAATGTGACCCTGAGACAAAGGATGTTGTGTATCAACTGTGGGAAGATTTTGCACAAGTCGCCACAAAACTCCTTGATCGAATTGAGGAGAACACTTCTTCGTTACCCATAGTTTCACCCACTTAGCATGTAAACTAAAGTGTATGGCATTGTCGACTTATAAAGTGTGTGGTTATTCATGTTACTTACTTTATATAACCTATATACAGTGCTATAAATATAAATATTATACATCCTTAATAAACAAAGATAAGTCTATTAAGAAAATATTGTTTCAATAATTTTCACTTTCTACACATACATATTCATAATGATATAGTGAGATTCTTTGTATTAAATATTTTATATAATTATGAAGTTTAATGAGTCATGATACATTATTTATAGATATTATATATGCATATGGAAGCTTAACAAAACTTTTATTCTCCAAGTTAATGATATATATATATATATATATATATATATATATATATATATATATATATATATATATATATATATATATATATCATGTGTTACTGAGAGAAGTCCAAAACTGCTTAAGTTATTATTATGATACTGATCATGTGTTTATTATTCATACAATGAAATTGTATATGCTAATACTGAATAAATCTTGTATAAATTATTATAATGATAAAATTATATGAAATAAAAGAACAAAAATATATATCCCCTACTTAGTAAAACATCTTAATATCCAACTTATGGATATCTTTTGTACATTAAGTATCAGTATAATGCTGTTACTCTGACTTGAACGTAGTCATGGGATGTTCAAATAATGAGGTTTTTATTTATCTAATAATTTTTTTGTGATGTTAATCCTGTGCATGTTGTACATAGTGTGTATTTTCAGCCAATGGAACAAACTGTATATAATATATAAGTAATCAAATTGAAACTAAGTAATAAGAAAAAGATGTATTTAGTTTTTGAAAAATAGGAAATCATATATTGCCTAGTAAATAAGAAATCTTAATATCACTTACAGGAGTGTAGCATCTGCATAATCTCTTTACTGTGAGGAAATTGCAAAAGTATCTCTTCATTATTTTATTAACTTCATTACCAGTCTGACTAACATTAATAGTGTAAGTCGAAATATAGGTAAAATTTCAGCAAGCTGTATATAGTCGTCATTATTAATCATGGAAATTTGAAAAAGAAATAAAATAACATAGAAAATATAGTCCTACATGAACCCACTGATGCCTGGTACATGCACTGTCCATAATAGTTTTGTTTTATTAATTTTAGTTACACATAGATAGCTTCCGAGTTAATTAATAGATCTGAACTGTTAAAACCATATCTTGATTTATTTTTATGAAATTCCTAATACATTATTACTGTTAATGCTGTTGTTATTATTATTGCTAATATAACATTAAGAATGCTATTATTAATAAAAGTGACACTTTTGTTTTTTAAAATTCAAAGAAGAGAGTAAATAGGTGAGACAGATAGGCCTATACTCTGTCCAATCTTAGGAAAGAAAAAGCTGTCAACTAAAGCCAGACACTGGAGTACTCCAATCTGCCAAGCCTCTCTTGAGAAAAGAAATAAAAAGTGGTTCTGAAGGCAGCAAATTACAATTAAAAACAATAAAAGCATTGTACATTTGTAAACGTAAGTAGTGAGTGCCAGCTGATTAGAACAGAAGAGACTTGAAATCAGAGTACGTCAGAGTTCTCTGTATTTCTTTTTCTCAGATAGGATGCAATATAGTAACTGCCTCCTTGGCAAATAAGGAAGTGTGGAGCCATTTATGTTTAAACACAGTTAATAAACAAGAATGAAAGTGGATATGGCATGTATACATGCCATCCCAGTATCAGCAGGTTAAATGCAAGTTAATTTTACTTATCGTTTTTAGTACATGTATATGTTAATATACACAAGTTCATCGTAAGTTGTAGGCCTTGTGATAACCATGGCAGCATAAGATTTAGTAGCATATGATATGAGCCAAATAACTTAGCTAGAGTTTCTCTTAAGTATAGAGAGAATGAAGAGAAAATAAATTAAATAACACATTAGTTAAACTTACTGTTGAGAGATGCGAGAAAGAATATAGATCAATAATTATCAATATGAGCACAAATGTACATGTGTCTGACAACACAGAAGTCATAACTCAGAGAAAATCTGAATAGTTTTTACCATATGTAATACAAATTATGAGAGAATTTCTTCATAATACTTCAGATTGTAATAAAGAATTAGTCCTCTATATCTACATGTATGCAGGACCACAAAGATACAATTTCCAAGATATTTTTTTGAATATACAACCTTCCATTAAATATTCTAAGTGAATGTTATAGGATGGATGACTATGTGCAAACATATATGCATTAACCTTTAATTAAGAGGTGTACATTACACCTCTTTTTATCTCTTGAATGTAAAAGAAAAAAATATGAGAATTAATTCCTTTGCGTATGTACAGTCCTTAGATTTTGTAATTTAAAAAGTTGATTACTGAGTATAACCCACAAAATATACTATAATGTATAACCTGTTAGAGCATATAGATGTGCCTTAGCTAGAAGAGAATGTACACTCAGATGAATACAGAAATATTTATTTTATGAATTAAGCATCTTAATACGTGTTTTTCTTCATTACATAATATCATTTGCAATCAGATTAACCATTTGTTTTATATTATGTGTGGTGTTTCTTTCATTATCATTTGCACTCACATTCTTATGCATTTTACTTTATAAAATAAAGACAGATGCAAAACAAATATATAAGGTCTATATGCCTGTATTACACTGAATAGTAACAAAATATGTATTTCTATACAAATCTTAAAAACTACAAATTCCACGAGAATATGTGTAATATGTAAATTTGCTAGTTGGGCAGTAAGATGTGATAGGGATATTAGTTTTGGTAGTAATATAATAAACGGTGCTTTAGATGGTTTGAAATGATTGTTGTAGTACATGTCTAGTCACAAGTCATTTACATACCACAGTAAATAATTTGTTCACTTATTGGCCAGCAGCTTGCTTGAGCTTTCTCTCAGTCAATGAAAAATGTGTTAAGAAAGATTGAACAGACAAATAAAAACTGAGGGACAAGCAAACAGTGTATCTGTGTGTGTGTGTGTGTGTGTGTGTGTGTGTGTGTGTGTGTGTGTGTGTGTGTGTGTGTGTGTGTGTGTGTGTGTGTGTGTGTGTGTGTGTGTGTGTGTGTGTGTGTGTGTGTGTGTGTGTGTGTGTGTGTGTGTGTGTGTGTGTGTGTGTGTGTGTGTGTGTGTGTGTAAAAGGAATTATGAAAAAAAGGTAGTTTCACAAGCACACTTGTATAATAAAAATTTCTAAAAATTGATCTTATTTGTTCGTTTAATTTCCTTTGAGCAAAATGCTGTCACAGTATTTTCTTTCTGAAAAATGAAAATAAATCTCATTCACACACATTACTTCTATTTTCTCTCTATGTAAAATTGTGTCCCAAATATTTTTCTTACACAAAAATAGAAAGCATATGTAGGTTTGAAAACCTACTTAGTTGATCTAAAAATATATATTAATATCTCTTAACATTTACACAAAATTTTGAATCTCACCTTTTACCTGGCCTATGCACAAATGAAGCTCCAAACTTTCTTGTCTCATATTTTTTCCTCTCACATAATAATTTTACTAATTCACTTATCAGAGAGATTCATCAAGCATAATCAAAAATATATCTATTATCAAGTCGAATTTATCATTCTAAATCTGTGCATTTTTTCTCCCTTCAAAATTACATTTATTTAAACCATTAAATCATTAACATAGAATTAATTTATTTTAGATCCTCGCAACATCACAACAAAAATTATAAAATAGGTGTAAAGAAATACATGATCTGTTAATCTTTTACTTATTATTCACTAACAAAAAACCATACCAATGATCTACGAAACAATGTCATATTTCTAATATTTGAATAAAAATACAGATATTCAACTGCAAGTGATATATTTTTAAGAAGTGAATAGATTTATAATATCTTAACAAGAAAAGAGACCAAGGATTTTATTTTGAGCAGTATGTTAATTGATTCTGAAGAAACCAATACATACACTAAAATAAACTTGTATTTTCTTAATAATAATAATAATAATAAAAGAGGATAATTACAGCAATAAAAATAATAAACAATTATAACTAATATACAATAATCATAAAAATAAAAAACATTTAGCATTATTCTTCAAACCTTCTATTCACCAATATTGAAGTTAAAAATTATAATTAAAAAACAAATACATAAATAAATAAACATTACCTGCATATCATTGCTAGAATTTATATTCAAACTTAGGTGCTCTGGGCACTGACGGAGCTTCAGGAGGTGCCCGGCCATACTTTAACCTAAGGACAGTGAGTGGAGCAGGGCGTTTATGATGGTTTAGAAGGTTCAGGAACCTCTGCAGTTCATCAGGTTTCAGCCGCACTTTCATGGATTGCGCAAATCTGAGGGTCTCATCAGCTCCTGCGAGATCACCCAATTCACCTGGCAAGAGGTGACAAAAAATCAATAAACAGAAATAAAGAATCAATACAGTATTAGATATGAAAAAAGAAAAACATTCAGTTCACCAATCTGATAATCATCTTTGCTGAAATTTCTCCTGTGTCTATGAAAATACTGATGTTGGCACTTCCAAATTTAATAAAGTTTTCATACTACAAAGATGACCATGAAAGATGGAATAATGCAATACCGCATTTTTATCCTGAACATTATAACCTCTCCGATCGGGATTCGATCCCTCGCCACCAATGCATGTGAATGCAAGACGGCCGCTCTACCACTCGTACAACGACCCAACAAAAGGAGTGAGCAACTAGGCGCTTATTAGCATCCATAGACATTACCTACCTACTCATACATGAGTACGGATAGCGAAGTTTCACACTCACTCCCCGTGGGCACTCAGTATTTATGGACAGGGCAGGACAAATCCCAAATCAGATAACCTGAGAAACTTTGCTAAAGAATTGGGCATAGGCCTATAAGGATTGCATGGTCATCTTTGAACATTATAGCCTCTCCGATCGGGATTCGATCCCTCGCCGCCAATGCCTATGCCCAATTCTTTAGCAAAGTTTCTGTATTATCATACATGGAAAAATAATAAGTTCAACACCATTACAAAAAAAAAATCTTTACTGAAATTTTATCTAAAAATAGCTATATACACTGCATTTGGATGCAAACATGATAAAATTAATATTAAAAAGTACATTTTCAGGTATGAGCCGTTTAATATATAAATTTGTGTTCCATGGTTGCGAACTAGGTAATGCAGTTGCCTGGTTGATAGTCAAGAACATAAAGCACAAAGCTGACATGCAAGCTGCAATAAAAGCTGCTTGGAAGTAAAGCACACCAATGACCAATGCCTAACTTGGAATGCGAAGGAACCAGTTTAGTCTTTCTGCTCGCTTATTTACTGTTTAGGGGTTCAAGTAAAACAATGCCACCATGGCTACTTCTCTTTCTCTATCTTTTGAGAATTCTTCCAAAACTTTTATGAAAATAACATTCAGCAGAATATATGGTTGATTTTGATCCAATTAAAACTAGTTTCAGGGCCTGTTCCTATTAAATTATCTCTAGTAACTTTGGATATCTACTATAAGATAAATTATATAAACTTTATATGCTTTATATATATGATAATAACTAATCTAATCAAAATGCTTTACCCTAGTGAATAATTAAAATTCATGGTTTCTGTAAAAATAAATAACACAGATTTTTCAAGCTATTTAGGTACCCCTTTAATTCCTTTACTAAGAATGCACATGATCATGAACATACACATAAAAGCCTTCTACATATTACTTTGTAGATTCTGTAAACAGAAAAAATTATACACAAAATGAAAAGAATAGGATCTCCTTTTCAGAAGCATAATTGCTAAGGCAGCCATAAGTGCAAGCCATAGCACATGTTGGTTAAATAGCTTCTTTTTCCTACTCCTTGAAATTTAGGGGTTTCAGAAGCTAAGGGCTATAAACTGTTACCAAACTAAGAGCAAGCTAACTTACACTGATGTTGTAACAAGGCACTTGTTGCAGGAGCATAAAAGTCGGAAATATCGTGATTGAGTACCAGCTCCAGTACCCTGTGCAAAAGATCTTTATCTCCTCTTGAAGATGCTTCATCTATTACACTTGTTAATTTTCTATGTAAATGTCCAGTCAAATCTGGATGCTGCTCTAGCAAATTATTTGCCATCTGTAAAAACAATATGCAGATATAAACATTAATATTCTTTGTAACTGTTCAATCAAATTTATATGCTGCTCCAATGCAGACGTTCAAAATATACAAAACTATATGAACATTAACATAATCCTAATACTCAAAGAAGAAATATATCCACATTTATAGTCTTTCAACAAAAAGAAAAATCTATCTGCAGCATTACAATGCATGGATACAAACATTACACAGGAAGTTAAATAAAGACCAGTTTGCCATAACTAAGGGGAAAACTTGAATATGTGATATTGTATTATTAACCAGAAGACATTACAGTGTCGAAAGTTAGTTTCAAAATCTTAGAGAACAGGAATCAAGGTCCTAGAACTTACCACAAAATGACGATGTCTTGGGCTGCAGAATCCTGCTCGCCATAAGGCCAAAGCTGGTCCTAGCTGATTTTGTTCTTTTGCTAAATTTGTGACAAAGGAGAAAGCCTGAAAAATATCACCATTAATATTCACACAATTTCTTTAAAAAATCCTAAAATCTCCTCTATACTATTTTCAAATACAAACCTACATAAAAAATAGCTATATGAACAACAATTAATACAGACTAATTATTCAAATCTATGATATAGCAAATATTGTTGCCAGTGAAAGGAGAAAGAAAAAGTTTTATAAAATTTACCAATTTTTCCTGGTTTTCATCACCCACTTCTATCACCCTTGAAAGTATAAATGCAGCTGTATCTTTTGCCTTCTTGATACGTTTAGGATGATCGACAAATAGTTTATAAAGAACGTCTAAGCATTCTTTCAGTTTCCCTTCACGATACAAGGCACTGTAAGATAAGAGCCAAATTTAATTCTATCAAATAAACAGTAATAATGCAGATTATAAAAGAACATTTTGTATCAGGATGTGAATTCCAGTATAATAGATGCAAACTTTAAAAGAGAAAGGATTTGTAAACAGAACAAGAGCTGACATTACCTTGCAAAATAGGTATCAAAATACATGTGATATTTGTACTGTCTGGAATACCTATCTCGAGTCATATCTTTAATTCTCTTCACATCGTCCAAATCACCTTCAGTAGAGGCCCACGCACATAATTGTCTTAATATAGCAAAAGATGGATACTGCTCATTTCTGCAATATAAATGCAATGTGTCATAAATGAAAAAAAATACCACAAAACTGTTTATGAAGATCTAAAAATGTATATAACACAAATATATTGGCTAAGAAATTCTACTGTAATAATTGTGTCATTATAATAGAAATAAAGGCACCGAAATTGAGAAGTCTTGACATTTCCTTACACCATCAAATAATATTAATCTATACATTCTTCTATATCTACAGTCCTCACAGAATGCAGTCTAATGATCTTACCTTACATATTCTTCGACTACAGACAGAGCTTTTTTCATCTCTTCAAGAGATATCATTTCAAGCAGAAAGGATTCTTCAACTTTGCTGATACTCTTGGGTTTATTTTGAGGTGCCGGTACTTGAACATATATCTCTTTAAGTCTGTTCCGCAATTCTAATGGATCTTGTTTTGGTAGGTCTAGCTTGTGCCCGTGGACCACTGTAGAATCAGGAGGTTGATCCTCAGCTTTAATGCTTTTCTTTTTCCTAAAATCATAATCTCCTGCTGAAGACTGATTACTGACAATTCTTGAATAATTCTTCCCTGTTGAAGCATGACTACTTACAAGATCTAAACAAGCTTCATTTTGGACATCTTGCTTTTCAATTTTCTTATCAATAAATGGTATCTGTTGATGTTCGGGCCCCCTGTTATTACTGTCTGATGAATTATTTGCGTTAATGTTTCCTGCTTTTATGTAATTATTGACTTTTATATGTTTTGTCCCTTTTGCAACGTGCTTCCATTTATTTGTTTTTTTGTATGTTTTTGCAGTTCTTAAATTATAAACAAAATCGTCAAGTTTGTCCTTTTCCTGTGGTCTGTCATGGTCATTAGTTGTTTGGCTATAGCGTCTAGTGCTTCTTTCCAACTCTCCATTAACTTTTGCAGTAATAATGAGTTGAGAAGTTGCTGGAATTCCATGCCTGCACAAGCTACATAAGCGCTGTACATACATTAGGACATAAGCTTGTTTCACTGTCTGCATTCCTGGAAAGTAGAACATAAAACAGATCTGTAAGCCTATTATATAACACATATTGCTTATTATTACATATTGCTACATACCTAAGCAGATACATTTCAACAGATCTGAGTTGGGTTACAAAATAAACATACTTTGTATTATAAAGGCATTGGTATAAAAATTGTGAATGTTCACTTTAGGTCTGATTGTTTTGTGGATAATAAAGGACTAGGCTAGCCCCAAGTTGAGAAGTTATGAGTATGGCATACTATTGTGGCACAGAATATAGTGCCATGCTTAATAAGGATTTGGATATAACATCACCAATAAAGATACAATAAATGTAATGAGATCATCTTGAAAAAAACAAAAATCAACACAGTAAGCTACGGAAATAATATGCATTAAGTAAGGGTGAAACTATAACTGCATATCAAAGTCCAAAGATAAACATTAGGTGATACTGTGACCTCATCAGTTTATGTTCTGGCAATGGTCAAGACATCTCTATCATGTAGATTCTGGCAAAATAGGAGTTCTTGTCCAATCTTATTGCCAATCAAAATCAGGAAAAAAAAGTCCATAAACTCTACCTTATCAAAATATACCCTATATGGTGGAAGACTTTTGACCTTTGACAGAATGAAAAAATAAAGCAAAGTTTGATCCAAGAATTTTCTAAAGAATTAGTCATATAATGTTTTGAGCCATATTCATTATCAATCATGTCAGTATTTTTTTCTAATAGTCCCACGAAATATCGTAGTTGTGCTTCTTCTGCGAAGAAAATGAGTGCTAGATTCGTTCAAAACATGACAGGAGGTATCAGAAAAATATTTTATACACCCGAAAATAGGAATGGGGTTGCATTTCCAAAATTACCCTATATTCAATGCTTAATCTTAATCACAATCCTTACTTCATATACTTTTTATCCCAGTCTCCACTTATTCCCTTCATATTCCTAACGTTAACGAAATCTATCAATTTGAAATCATTTTATTACCAATCTCAAAAACCGGCAACCCATTTTTTCTGAAGTAATTCATAATATTCTCGCTTGTCATAAGATGACATGCAAAACCAACGAATCATTAATATTAAAAATTCAATTATCTGTGAGACTATTCCCTGTCAGAACTACAGTTATGGTTCTAAATCAATATAAAAAGGACATAAACAACCAAAATGGCCATTAACTCAAAAGTTTATCTGTCCGAGCTGCAACACACGTTTCATTTTACCTTTCTATCTTTGTTAATCACTAATATATGTTAAAGAAATCGTCTATATCAGTTTTGAATCCATAACGTTCTTAATCAGGAGAGTAATTCGTCTCTCTGGATGAGTCTCCGAGATGTCCGTCGTGGAAGACCTGTTTGTTTACAAAAATCAGCTGATAGGTACACGCGGGGAAGGCGTTCACCTTGAGCGCTTTGGGACCCTGCGATATGCCCAAGTGAACGCAGAAATATAAAAGAATGTTATATCCAGGTTAGAAAAACACTCAACTCATGTAATCTATCAATAGACTAAAAAAAGAAAGCTTTAAGAACATTATAATTAGATTTTGATTTCAAAGTATAAACTTTCTGAATCTTTATATGACAATGACTTTAAAATTGCGTGAAAAATTTATTCTATTCCTCGATAGCAACACCCTGAATTAATCACCCTACCCCCATGCCCCGCGATCTCTTACGAGAGAGAGTCCGCAGAATATACACTGATGATGCGAGTATAGTTGGATTGACACCTTTACTTCAGTTGCCTATAGAATTCAAAGGGTATTTGAAGCCATTTATATGCATGTATTTGTAGTGGCACAAATTCATATATTCATGATATAATGCTACCGTATAGGTGTATACATAGGTAATTTTCTATCTTGAACTTTAATTCTAATTTTTCACTTAATTGTCTGACTCATTAAGCTTAGTATGGCACTGGGGAATCCTGTCGAGTGGGTTAAATGATGTTTATCAGGAGTAGGGTATTTCTTTATAATGTATTTCCATATGCATGATGTCTAATATCTAATGCTGGGCAGAACTCCAAGTCTTGATCCTCCAGACAAGTTGTCCAGGACCAGCAGGACGAGTGAGCCGCGTCCGGAACCTCCAAGACCCTTTCTGCCCAGAATGCAATGCGCTCGAATGTTAACATTCACTTTTTTATCATATTGGTGTCTATAATTTACACGCTGCATAGGTTTTGTAACTCCTTTGATGTATATTTAACTTGCCTGCAACTGACAAACACAAAAATATCCTTTGATAACAGCAGTAAAGGGCCATGAAATTACACACCAATATCTTGTGGTTACCTGCAGCTGTCAGCGTTTACATACAAAAGCTATTGTGACGTCATCTTGTCCTGCTCGCCCAGGTTCGCAGGAGGCCGATATGGGCAACTTGTCCAGGATAAGATAGTAGAGGTTCCAAACGGTCAAAACGTCTCATCCAACTGGTCTGGACAAGCAGGACAAGCAGTTCTGAGCGCAACATAATATCTGATATTACGATTTTAAGGATTTTGTTCCTCACTCTAAATCAGTGTCTAAGAGTTTGTATGCTGAATTTCAATGAAATGCTTAATTCAGAACTTGCATTGATTATGTCAGTAAATTGCTTAACTTTAAATATACAGTTCTTTTTATTCTTTAAAGAGTGGCTGAGGAGGAGAAATCTCTAGAGGATAAAGCAGACATTGTCACAAAGTACTTGGAGGAGAAGAGAAACAGCTTCAAACTGAGTCATCGTTTATGAGACTTTATGTCACCACTTTCACACTGACAGCACCTCTGAGAGTAACAACAGCACTCTACCATTGCCAGAACAACTCCACCAGCCCCAGTACCTGACCTCAACACACACTTCCAGGACCACCGTAGAGGCCTCTGTGGCAGCTTTCTACTTTGTGATAGCCAGTGCTTGTGATGGTGATGATGAGGTACGTTCACAGTGGGAGAAGATCTCATATCATTTTCAGTTCCATTTTTGAGAAGCTGGGATTATTAAAATTTTCTTCTTTTTTTTATTTATCAAGAAATTTAATATATATATATATTACATTTTTTTTCTTTTCTCTTTTTTCTTTCTTTTTTTCCATATGTTGAGAAGTTATAAGAATAGATTGTTGTCACTGAAATGCTGGAAGGAAACTGGGTAGAAGTTACTTATAGCAACGTGCATAGATAGAGGGAACTGGACACCGCCATCTTTTAGAGCAGAAAAAATAGAATAGGATACAACACTGTTTAAGCTACAGCGGCCTCATAGTCATGGCTAAATGACTAAAATATACCTCACTATTTCTGCTCAGATTCTAAGTCCTGCTTCTTGTTTACCTTGCCAGGAATGGCACAATACTGACCACTTAACTCAATACCAAGATGTCCGAAGTAGTTATTACGCACTTGTCAAAACGATATTTGGCCAATTATTAGTGTCTGATGTTACACATTTATGCTTTTAAAGTCTTTTATTAATGCTATTATACTTCATTTACGTGTTTTAACATTTATCTATACATTTATTAAGAATTATCTGCACATCATGCATCTCATACTTTCATCTGGCGCCAGCCCCCTGGTTTGACAGCTCACCGTCCATTCAGTGATAGAACACCGGTGAGAAATATTGCATTTCCAGTGTTGTGTTGACTCTGGGTTATTCTTAAGACTATAAAGTGGCAACAAAGAAGAAATAGACTTCAGTAACTATCCCTGTTTATTATTTCGACCCATCAAGAGCTCCAATTACCAAAAAAAGTGATTAAAATCAAAGCAATCCAGGCAGTAGAAAAAAGCAAACGAAAGTTTGATGTTTCCAGATATAAAGTTGTTTAGTTAGTTTTTTACGTTGTGGACACAGCTCTACCTTGCCGTATATACTGAGGTGAAAGGAATGTTTCCTGGGGGTGGTGGGGGCAGAGCCCCCCGTCAACCCTCCCCTTAGTCACGGCAACTTAAATTGTTTGATTATGTTTTTTTGGGGTTTGGAATGTGAATTCTAGCAGATTTTGCCAAAAGAAGGGTTAGGTTCCCGTAGAGTTTCATTACCCGATTTAAAGTGTTTTTTGTATTAATTTTATGCATTTTTGTTTGCTATTATTCTTATGTAAGCCTGTTTTACCCCATAATTTCCCTGATATACTTCATGTCCTCTCCTGTTATCAGGTATATCAAGATCGTCGATGGAGAAATAGTACTCCATTTCCTGCAAAATTTCTTCTTCTTCTTCTTCTTTTCTTCTTTTTTTTTCCAACTTAGTCTCTGGGAGGGGTTGTCGCTGTTGGTGACAATTACCGTAAACTGGATATTATTGGTGTACATGAAAGACATATAGTCAGTTATGATATAAATCATGCACAGAATAAGAGCAGTGTTTAGTAACTTTAATATAACATTCACTTAGTAAACAAACTGTATAAAAAAAAATCATAAATGTATGTATAAGAGATATTATTGAATTTCTACTTCATTCATTGGAACATTTTTTGAAACTTAACACTGTCAGCTCTGCCAGTGAAGTTTTCACTTGAAACTGAATCTCATAAAACCAAATATTAAATCACTGAATAACTGTTATTTTTTAGAAAATATTCAAAGTATTTAACATAGCAAATTAATGAGAGCATTCATTACCTGATTTAAAGAGACATCCCACCAGTGGGACACCCAAATCATTGACCATTTCCAGGTGTCTCATATGTGAGACGCTGTTGTTCTGAGCCATCTGCTGGGCATCTCACACATACGTAATGCATGGACCTCTTTAACAACTGCCATGTCTACATGGATATTTCCAAGACAATTTCTTATTGCACACGTAATCACAAGTTATGTCTTAAGGCCATATGAAGAGTAGGGGAATTATGAGGAGAGAAATACAGATAGAAAATCAAAATGAAAACAAAAACAAAAGCTGTAACTAAGGACAGAGGAAGAGAGATAGATAGATAGTCAAGCAGACACAGACTTAGACATAGAGTCAGGCATATAGGCAGAGATTGATTGGTAAATAAATTGAGAGGCAGGCAGGTAGACAGATAGCTAGATAAATAGATAGATAAATATATGACAGATAGTCAGGTAGGTAGGCAGATTAAGTGATATCATGAAGAGTTATGTCACAAATTGATGTAATGAAGAGTTACATCACAAAGTAACTTCATGGATAGGTATGTCATGAAGTGATATCATTAAGCTGAGGAACTGACATCATAAAACTGAGGAAGTGATATCATTACAATCACCATATTTACTTTCAAGACATCATAAAAAAATGTCACTTTACAACCACCATCTTACTTCCACATAGCAGTAAATGATGTCACATAAGGAATTGATGTCAGGATATTAGGCAATGATGTGATTGGTCATTTTATGTAACATGTGACCCAGGTTGCTTTAATCTTGCTGGCTACTGTTAGTTCTATGTTCCTTGTCAGTTCAAAGCACAGGAATTTTCCCTTATATATAGAAGTGCTTGTACCTCACTCATTACTTACTTTCACAATGCCTCCCTATGCCAGCATTCAAAGACGCAGCTCCTCCTCCTCTGAGGGAGATGAACCCCAACCATCGACTTCAGGGGAACCTCCTGCCAAGGTTCTTCGGCGCCATCCACCACACAGATCTTGGCAGTCCTCACGGGTTCCCACCTTCTTTGACTTTTCCTCTGACGATAGTGATGATGAGCGGGATCATGAGTGGTTGCCCAGTACTTTAGAAGATGCTTTCGACCCATGCTTTGATATATCCAGTTCAGAAGACGAACTGGATTCCGTCTCGCAGGCCACCACCACACATGACATTGATGAGCCACTCTCCAATGTGGCAGCCAAAATGATAAAGAGGAATGTTCCAGGGACCAGGAGATTCGCCTGGAAACGGAAAGACAACATCCCCAACCTTTTCAGCTTCCAAGGCAGTCCTGGGGTCAAAGTCAAATTGGATGTGTCAAGCACGCCCTTGGAGATCTTCAGCTGGTTCTTCACCGATGACCTCCTTGATCTAATTGTCAAGGAGACCAACTGGTAAGTTTTATTATTATTGAATTTGTGTTCTTTGCACTTGTATTCAGATTGAGGAAATATCTCTTGCATTAAGGGGACCATCTGGTAATTTTTTGGCAAAAAATTGCCCATCTTGCTGAATTGGATTTCAAGGCCTCTAAATCTGCCATGAAAATTTCAAGGGCCAGCCACTAATTTTCAGGTGGTAGCAGCCACTTTCGATGTCTACCGAATTATGATTTTTTCACCTTACCTTAGAAAATCAACTGTTGAGACATAAAGATTAGATGTTATAAAAATATGAGATTATTTTCTGAAAGCTTATAAAATTTCACATATGAGACCTACCTTTATTTTTCCAGATTAATCTATAAAATCTGTGAACCATGCAAAAAACAATAACAGAATTTTTGTTTACAGCTATATAAAAATGTTATGCCACTGATATGGAGTATTTTCTGTTCTTTATGTTTTGATCATATTGTGTCAGTTTCATCCTTGAGCAAAATGTTTTGAATATGGTTGTAGGTTTGCCAAATGATCTGGATTACCACCAAAATGTCATGGCATCTAAGTTAGGCTAAGAGACACACCTTTGGTAAAAATCTCGGTAAAATCTGTTCATAACTTTTTGAATTATACAAACATAAACCAACAACAAACAAACATAAGTAACAATATATATAAACATAATGTCATGGAATACATGGAAATGATCTGTATATTTATACATCTTATATGCATAGTTTTACACCACCCTGCATTCGTGCATGGAATGTGAAAGGTGCAGCCTGTAGAGTTACAAGGCCCATGACTCTTGCCTCAAAAACATGCGTGCGGCCCCTTCTGTTGCATTCTGGCCAGCGAGTGTGATATTCGCTGGCTTGGAGATCATATTTCAAACCAGTATCAGAATTATATGCTGTAAAACCACATTAAAGGAATAATAAAGGGAAATAATAGATAATTATATCATTTACAACTATTTCATACATGATTTGTTATCAATAATGTTGAAAATGATATTTCTGTTCTCTACACTCTTACACGTAGCACACCCATTTTCAGTCCAAAATGAACGTAATATGACATATTTTGTAGCAGAATAGTAGAGCTATTGCATGATCCAATAATGATTTGTAATATTTTCATGTGCTTCTTGTAAAAGTGACATATAAAAAAAAATAAAATAAAAATGGTGCCCTTTATGGTGTTCTAAAAGTCGCCTATGTGACATTCACACTAAAAAG